TGCCTATATATGTAAGAGGCTGTTAAGAAGAGGTTTTTATTTATTTATTTATTATATATGTATATAGTTTGTTTGTATACATATCGTATAATGTGCAATGTGTTTACGTTTTGACTTTGTATCTGTAAGTAACAAAAAACTGATATTTTGTAACAATTTGTACAGTTTATAACTGTCTAAATTATTATGTCCCTATGTCTCGTTAGATCCCCTGAAGAAGGCAATAAAACTTGTCGAAAGCTTGGGCGTTGATATAATAACATTGTATGTTTGAAGACCACAACCCGAATCCCAATCAACATCGTAGAAGGCTGGTTGATCGCACAACAAACTTTAGACATAAAGCTTTCTCTCTCTTTTTTATGATTTAATATTTTATTGGTTGGGAGGGGTTGTGACAAACTGGAATCCGTGAAGCGATGTATGGCAAAATTCCAAACATACTGGAAGACAAATGAAAAGCTCATTTTCATTAACGATATGTTCAGAACGGGCAATTGTACAGAATGACAAAACTGCGGCCACCAGTCAGTATCGCTGGCATAGAAAAACTCGGGCTGTACCGACGGAGGGGCTGCAATGGAAAAGTTGGGTTTTCTTCTTTCTCCAATATAAAAATGATACTCAGAAACAATTTTCCTAGAAGATGTGAAAGCCTTTCATGTACGGGTATCTTTTGAGATATGGACCGACGTAGAGCTGCGGCGATTGCCGGAAAAAGCTCATTTATGCTTTAGGCCCTTTGTCGCTTTTCAATCCCCGTGTATTGTTCAGCGTCCGAGTGTCGGGAGTGATCGGAAACATTAATAATAATTAGCCGCAGTATCCGAGCTCCGAAGGGTCCCGGTTCCTTCCGGCCCGTTGTGCCCGACATCTCCGCCATCCTGGGTGATAAGGGGAATTCGACGGCCGATTCTCAAGAACGATGAGCATTAAATTAGCCAAGACATAGGACGAAAGAAAATATTTAAACTAAATCCTTGTATTATAAAACTCACCAGTATGATGGAATATAACGAGATTATTTTATCTCTACTTTATATATTGAATTAAAAAAGAAATATCTTAACAGCGCCCTCAGCTTAATAAAATAGCTTAATTCGAAGTTAATTTTTTTCATATTAGCCAGAGAACGGTATTGTGATGGTTGTTTATTATGGAGAAGGGCAGGATGAGATAAAATTACAGGGGCGACGGTGGGAATCGAACCCACGGTCGCGGGGTCTATGAGCCGAGAATCTATAACGCTGACCATTCGTCTACCGCAGTCGACGTTTACAATTTTAATTACCATTAGCACTAATTTGTTTACGAGAATTTTGAACTGGCTATCTGTTGAATTTGGCTTAAGAACACAATCGACACGTTGGGCTATCCGTCCCCAGTAGCGTCGCGGTAGGTGATGTAGGGACAAAGGGCTGTACAAGCCAGATGAATGCGATACGGATCTGTCTCAGAATCAAAAACACGATATTTTCAAAAAGGGTTGGTCGATTGACCAAATAACTTCTTTCAATTAATTAATCTTTACGTAAGGTATTGGTTGAAATGAAATCGAATCCTCCTCGTGATACAAACTTTTCCATTTCAACCATAACCTTACATAAAGATTAATTAATTGAAAGAAATTATTATTTCTGTTTATTTGGTGATTGGGAAGACAGAAGTGTGGTGATGGTATGAGATTTTAATACATTCAATGTATCTAGTTTATCAATATTATTAATAAAACTCTCCTAAAAGGGTAACTTTTAGTTCTTTTTTTTTTCCATTCCCTTTTTCTTCGTTTGAGGAGCACATCTTACTCCGCACTCTGTTAAACATTAAACATAAAATTATATACTATCAAGGATTTATTATTTTTATTGATTGTCATTAACATCGGAGGTATTATTACGTTTAAAATGTAATATTTTATTTGTTCTATTTGGTTTAAAGTACTATACCCGCTGGTATGTGCTCCTATTTACAATTTGGTACGTAAAAAGATAAATATTTATACCTATTCATCTATTAGTTTTTTCTTTCTCTCACAATACGCACGAGCGCGCACACACGCGCACACTTAAACACATAGATAAATTAATCCATTATTTAGTATTGATAATTTATTTGATAAAAATAAAATATATTATCCACATTTCAACAACGTGACTGCCTACATCTCTGTTATTTTTTAGTCATTTGCCATTTTCGTTATCACTACATTGTAGAACGAAAGCTGAAATCATAAAATTGATGGGTGAAAGAGGAAGACAAGGGCAATCACTTAAACAAACATGACTCAACGCCTTGTTATTCAAGTTCAGAATTTCTTCCTCTAGCCTTATAATTAGTTATTATTTCAACAATTTAATCTTCAGATGTGTTACTTGAATTTCAAACTATGTACATTATATTTGATCGTCGATTCCCATCCCACGGGGCTAAGCTCTAACGGGGTTTTCGACAGCTAGGTCATTCCAGCCCTCAACGCATGCAAACTATAGTTAGCCTAAAACTAACTTCTGTACCACAGTCGCGCAAATAAATACATTCACACCTATGTACATTGAACTCATTCTTATTAGTTGGATATTCCTCAATCGACCTACACACACTATTGATAATCTAATTTAAATTAGAGTCAATGAGGTAGTTTTATAAATATTCCACCAACACACACTGCTATATTTCGTGATATTTCTTTCCCTCTCACTAATAAATCCATACCCTCAAACAAAACCCATAAAATAGATTAATACAAAAAATCATATTCTCCAAAATGCGGACAGGAAACCGAAAAACTCGTTATCTGGCTCGATAACCATTCTTAAATCCGGCGGCATGCCTTCAAGCTCTCTGTACGCCAAGGTGTGTCAAACTTTTATTATATGGGGACAACGAGCAACCTTCCTCTGCATAAGGGACACCTACAAGGGGTTCAGGAGTAGGTGCCGTCTGTCAACCTCGTATGTCCTATCCTTAATCGGGTAAGCTCCCAGATCAGGTTCTCGGGGGGCAATCTGTTGTGTTCTTGACACTCAAGTCTCTCGGACGATCACTGCCCAATGTCGCTTTTTTTTACCAATTTCTTTACCGCTCACTTAGCGTCAAAGGGCTTGAAGCCCAGTCGAGAGGTTGGGACGGCCATACGCCGCTTCGTCTTCATGTTCGTTACTCTCCAGGCCGACGTGTCCAGGAATCCAGACGACCACCGTTTTTCCAAGGTCTCCAGCTCTGCGTATTTTTCTACCAAAAGCACGACGAGAGGGTCCTTAGTGAACCTGTCTCGTAAAGCCGAAACATCGTTTGGAGAGTCCAGTGAGCCCGGACCGCCTGACAGCGTGCCAAATCTCATGGAGTTCCGCCGTATATCCGCTGCAAAGCTGGAGGAACGACCAGAAGGGGCTAAGGTGGCTCCTACCTCCCTACACACGCCACACCATCTTGAACCTTCAAAAACAAGACAAAAACGTTTCCCGCTCGTTCCATTGACTTTTTTATCTCAACTGAAAACCTTAATTAATTGTAAGATATTAATTGGTCAAGCGGACCACGAAACTAGTGAATTTAGTAAGTGATAGTGTTAATTGTTTCTCAGTAGAAGGAAGATGGATGTCGATGTCAAGGATTGACCTACGACGATCCTCCGAATAATTGGTCAATGAATCACAATCAAAAGGGTTCCGAAGACATTTTCGGGGCTGAAAAAGCAAGAGGGAAAAATTACCGTGATCCTCTAAACCGTCGAGCGAGATAGCCGTTATCAAAGGCTGCCTCCTTCTCCTGATGGATGCGATCCTGGATCCCCTGAGAAATCTTTTTTGTCCGCAAACTGCTTTTCGCACAATTTTTTTCTTGTTAAATATTCTTATTTGCCTTTACTGTTTTACTCGGTTTAATTCTGGACTATTTTTTTTACAACATGCGTACTACTTTTTGCAAAATTGGTAGCAGAGCGTATGAAATTTTGAAATCCACAATGGGCACAAAATCCGATTCAACAGACTTGAACGGGAGAAAAAAATTTTGTAAAAGAAAATTTTTTAATTAAAGTTTTATTAATTTTTAAAAGAAGAATTTATAGGATCCTATATTTTGTTAAGAAAGAGGGAATTTTTTTCACCCATCTTCCTCACTGACTCTCTCATATCTTTTCTTCCTCCATGCTTAACTTGCTAATCTCTCGTTGTTGCTTAATGCTGTTAAATTAATAATAATAAAATAAGAAGACATACAAACTCAAAGGTTTTCATGCTCTCAAATCGCTTATTCACGCAAATAAATTAGTGTAACTCTCTAACTCAGAACAGAGTACCCGATTTCCCTTGGGGTGTAAAATAATTAGGATTCACAGAACACACGACACACACACATGGTATAATTAGTGTAATTAATTTTTGCAATTTAATACTAAATTGTATGATATAAACTACAACTATCTATCTGTATAAAACTGTTACTATTTTCTTCACATAATATTCTTGATAGTTATCGTCAAACTAACTAATCATTAACGAACCAAAAATCGGTATAAACAAATTTTATATTATGCCCACGTCTCGAGGGCCGTGGTAGTCCCCCAGTAGTTAAGGCGTCAGTCTCTCGGCTAGTAGATCCCGTGGTCGTGGGTTCGATCCCCACCGTTGCCTCTGGGCTTTTTCTGACGCCTAAGGGGACCGGAAGATGATCTCAATAAAGATCAAAACGTTGGCACGATAAAGAAAATGTTTTTCTGAAACCTACATCACACCAGACCGCATATCACGATTTCTAAATAAATATCGATTAACGGTCACTAATAGCCACACATTCACACTTGCGTTGCGAGCCCCCCAAAAATGGAGCCAGGGATAAAATACAATGAGCTGTACAGCTGCAGTGCTCAGGAGGGAACTCCTCCAGCTTCTGGTATCCATTGTAAAAAAAAAAAAAATTACAGTCATAATTATTCTGTAATAGAACTAATCGAGATGAAATGGCTTTTTTTAATTTTGTTGTTTTTAATTATTTTTTAGATAATGCTACGACAGTCCACTGCGAGCTGTACATCAGAAGTTTCGGGTCAATCAGTCCTGTCACCATGGTAAGTCGAACTTTTTTTTATGCCAAAATCGTCAAAACTTTCCCATTTCAGCTACCGTTCGGCATCTTGCAATGCTGCAATGCATTTGCTGCACGAAAATCGACGCCTTTACTCAGATCAGAATTATTGTCGACAGAATAGAATATACATCATGAAGGAAATCACAAGAAAAAAAATTAAAAACGAAGTATATAAGAATGCAAAAACAAGCACAAAGAATTACTGATAAAGTTTGTGGTTGTTATTAACTTGAGGACTTTATTTTTTAAAATATCCAAAAATATAGTGGAAAACATCTTTAAAAAGTAGTTTTGTATTTCAATTCACTATGGTATGGTATGGTAGAAAAGGATACTAGGAAGCGGGGTTTGTACTCCCCAGGCACTGCAGCCTTGTACCTTCCTAGTTCCTTAGTTCAGACAATAGACTCAATCCTTCTACTTAGAAGTATCAGGTCATTGACTGTTGCTGATGTAATTTGATTCCCTAAGTATTTTCCGTACGTTACATTAAACCTCCATTGACCTGATGATTCGCATTCGAAGATGATATGAGTGGCTGTTCCTCCTCCTCATTACATAATCTGCAAATGGGATCATCCCTGTATATACCCATGTTGTGTAGATGTTTCCTCAGATGCCAGCGACCGGTAGTCCTACCACTCCTCTGAGTTTGGCCCTCTCCAATTGCAGCAGTGTTTTTGCCAGTCTCGGTGAGGGTTCTTTCATCATAAGTTCACTATGTCTAGCACCGCTAGAGTTTATCCACTTCTCCTTTTGTTTTGCTTGGATTCTATATTTGTTTTTGTTATCCCAAGAATAGGTTCGGGGGCCTATGCATGGTCTTGCATATCCTCCTCTGGCCAGTCTGTCTGCTTTCTCATTACCCAAAATTCCCCTGTGCTCTGGCACCCAAGATATCGTCAGGTTGTTGTGTTTCCCCAGGTTTTGGAGATTTTGGATGGATTCACTGACTAATTTTGATGTGATTCTTTTATATGCTAATGCTTTAATGGCTGCTTGTCAATTCAGTATACATTTTATTTAATTTTTTCATCTCGACCAAGACGTTAGATAAATATTATAATTAATTATGACTGGAAAACATCAATTTTGGATTAATATAGTAGTGTATATTATTTTATTAATTCGTATTATACGCCATAATGTTAACTTATTTTTTAAAATTCTGTTGAACAATAATTAAGATTCTGCTGCATATGTTCCATTTTCTAATTAAATAATAATTAATACAAAATTAAATATTACATTAAAAATGCTATCAAAATTAGCAGGGACATTAACGGTTTTACCTCTTAAAACAGTTTCAATTTTACGTCCAACGGGGCAAATGAACTTGTTTTTTTTGTACAAGGCTCAGTTTTAAACTTCGCCATTCGGAAAAGTTTTTTTTATTGGAACAGCCCTCCATCGTTGAACATTATTCAAGAGAGATATTGAAATGTACACTTTTAGCCGTACTTCACCGGGAAACCACTAAACTGGGCACCTCGACAAATTGCGTTGGACATCCTCCGAGAGTTTGTTCAGCGGAGCTTGGAAATTGATGGATGGCGTTTGCTAAGTGCAGTACTAAAAGCTCCCGGGGGTCGGGCGGTGGGGTATGGTGACTTTACGGTCGGAACACCCACCAACACCTTCATTCCAAATGGATATCCCACTCGAATTTCCAACTTTTTCTTTTTCCCACGGGGTGGCTGAGGGACGTTCACAATTCTCAATAGCACTGGTATGCACTTTGGCCGGGTCGTTTAGTTTTTATGTTTAACATTTTTAATCAATTTGTGTTTTTGCAGTGAACTTTTACTTTTTCAAATTTCTTAGTTTAGTTCAATTTCTTTAGAAGAAACTCAATTTCAGCTCATTTATGTGACCTGTGTTCTCAGTTTGCCAGATTTAAGACCAAATTTTATAAGGAGATAATAAATGAATCTGAAAATGTACTGCTGACTTGTTCAACGTATGGAATGTATTTGCATAACATATTTCAGCTAATGTATGCAAAACATTTCCTCTTCCGGATTTATTAATGTTGCGACGATTAGGATTTGTCAGAATTCATCTTTGAAAACTCTCGCTGTGCACTGGAAAGGCAACGTGTTTCAAATACGAATGATCAAATTGTCTACTTCATGTTTTACAAAAGTGGCGATTTACGTCTATCATAACAATAGGCAGTTCGTGTTGTTCCGAAGAAGTTAAAGCTAATTCGAGCAACTTCCCCGAGACTAGGCCCATCGTCGGCCGGATGGTGTGAACTTGTCGGCGAAGCTCAAGTTAAGTTTATAAGTTGTGACGGCTTAACGAATTCTAGCCGAGTCTATAGGCAGACATTCTCTCTCACTGGGTCGTTTCTAACACACCCGCCAAATTTTCCCCTTTATTAAAAAGAATTTAATATTAGTTTTAATGGGATTTCGTTATTAATATAAAAACTTTTGAAGTGAAAATTTGCATGGAAATGTGCCCGTGAAAAAGTGAATTTTAGTTTGTCATATGTTGGTTTTTAGTTTGTTATTAAAGAGTAGTAAACTATTTTTTTTAATTTAATTTATTTACTTTACTTATTGCTAACTGTACAAAGTGCAACATATACATTGAGCAAATAGTATAGGTATATACAAATCTGACAGATTTGTCAGACCAGGAGACAGAGGGAAGAGAAACTAACCAGTGACAGATCTCTCTTTTATTGAATTGAACGACAATATAGAAAGTCACGAGGCCATCGTCGTTTTAAACGGCGTGGAGGTTTATAAGGGTGAGGCGTTGAGGAACGTGTTAAGCTAGAAACACACTTACACGATGCTACGCCATGCGACGCTATCCGATGTTACCCTACGCAAATCCAAACTCCGATTTTCCATAAGGTTGCATTACCCCCGTGCACATCTACCCGATGCTATGCCACGCTAACCTACCCGACGCTCTGCGATCCCCACTGTCCAGATTTTCGTCGGGTCGCATCGAGTACAGTCGAAGACAAAAGAACCGGACACTCATATTTTTATTCAAACTACATGTATTATTGTCGTTATATTAATTACAACATACTTATTTTAATATAAACCAAATTAACTGTGATTAAAAATTAATTAGTTTTTATTTAAAAAATTAATTTTAATGGTTTGGTAGAAAATTAATCAAAACACCGGAATACGATTTTTTGATATAATGAATTTAACTAACAATTTATTGTACTCGCTTCGGCGGTACATATACTAAAATTGGAACAATTTATTACACGGTTTTGCTCATAAAATTTAATTAACAATTTATTTCATAGTTTTGCTCGTAAAATTACACCATTTTGTAATGTCGGGTAGCATCAGAACAGGACACTCATATTTTTTGTAGTTTATTTCAAACTAAGTACATGTAATTTTGTCGTTATATTAATTACAACATGTTATTTTAATGTAAACCAAATTAAACGAGATCAAAAATGCATAAGTTTTTATAAACATTGTTTAATTATGATGGTTAGGAGTAACTTTATTTAAAACAATTAAGTTTAACAAACAATTTATTAGATGGTTGTGCTCATAAAATTTAACTAACAATTTATTACAAGGTTTTGCTCAAAATAGTGCATTAAGAACAAAAGATGCGTTCCGATTGTGATAGTGATTATTGTGATAAACGCGCTGTGCACTGTACGCGACGTGTGCTTGCGTCGGATAGATGTGCACACCCCACCAAAACGTGGCAAGGCGTCGGGTAGCATCGGGTAGCGTCGCATGGCGTAGCATCGGGTAAGTGTGTTCCTGGCTTTTGTGGGTTAGGGTGGAGAGATTGTTTAGAGAAGAAATTGACGAAACGTGTTCGAATAAGCTCTTTCATTCTGGGATTTTAAACTCTTAAGGGCTCGTTTGGTAGGTAGGTCTACTTATCAGAAAGGAGTCTCGGGGCCATTTCCTCATGAGACACCTTATAGGATTGTAGGGATGTCTTTTGTTGGACAAGGCTTTGGCGAGACTGTTGGATTTTCGGGTGAGGTTACAGTGGAACTAGGTAAACTTTTGATGAATTACGTTTTGTATTAAGGTCGTTGTTGAGGGTAGTATTGGCGACTTAATATGGAGTTTTATTATTAATCTTAAAACTGTATACTGATAAGATTGGAGTTGGATATTGGAAGGCTTAGCTGTGCCCCACAGTTCTATACCATGTGTATGTACCTATGTCCAAATAGATAGTACCGGTTTTTAAATTGCACGTTTGTTTTTTGTCGATATCTTCAATTGTAGACGTAAAAGTTTGTAGAATTAGGGTATTATTTAAGTCGTGTTGTTTCAGTCGCATGTTGATACCACGTTAAGCTTGAGATTAGGTGGAACCCAAGATAGTGCATGCAGTCGGATTTGGGATACGAATGTCGTGTGGATGTGAGAGGAGATTTTTTTATTTTATTAAATTAGTACGAATTTATAGGAAAGAAACTGACTCCCTATTTCTAATGGGAGGTCAAAATATTCCAGTTGTGGGTTCAACCTGGAAAATATTTATTGTTTACATGTCCGGATTCATGATCTTAACATTGTGCCAATGGAAGAACATTTTACATATCAAATTCACTAATTTCGTGGTCCACTTGACCAATTAATATATTACAATTAATTAAGGATTTTAGTTGAGATAAAAAAGTCAATGGCACGAGCGGGATTCGAACCCACGATCTTCGGCTTGATACGCCGCTGCTCTACCACTTGACCTATCGTGACCTCGATCCACTCGGACACCAACTTCCCATCGCAACCCCACCTGTTTTTTAAAATTAGAATTAGAATGGTAGAACAGCGGAGTATCTAGCCGAAGATCGTGGGTTCGAATCCCGCTCGTGTCATTGACTTTTTTATATCAACTAAAAACCTTAATTAATTGTAATTTTACATATTATTCTCATATTATCGTATTCGTGACGAATTGCATACCGTTAAAGCACTCTTTCCTAAATTGATTTGCGTTAAAAATCCATGA